GCACATTTCATGTTTGTGAACTTGTTGGTAGACTCATTTCATCATTTCTTATTGTCTATCTTGTATCTAATGTGATTCGTTAATATTATTATTTGTTTGTTTGTTTGTTTACAGGCTGGTTTTGCTGATGCCACGTTTCTGTCCATTTCTCAACGATGGAAATTAATAAATCCCAATTGTCTTGATGGGTATCCAAAGCTCACTGCTCTGAATTCAAGACTTCTGTCGCTACCCAAAGTTGCAGAATATCTTAAAGCCTAAACACGATGAAACTATCATGCCTCTGTAACCCATCTTCATTTAAAACTCTTGTATAAATTCTCTGTAATGAACATGTAATGTATTTTCAGACAAATTTGAAAAAATTAAATGTCAAAGTGAATTTTTATAACCCTTAATCTGACAATGGTGAATGAAGAACCTGGGACAAATGTCATTGTAATGTTTACTGTTAAATCAGCCTAAGTGAAATCCACAAAACCCTTTCCTGCAATTAACATCTGCCTATGATAGCAATGATCATATATCACAATTATAATCACTTATGCACATTTCTGTATTCTTTGGTGCGGTCATCGGGGCACTTCCACCGCCTGGCAACCATCACCAGTGAAAACAACTGTCGAAAACTCTCAGGAAACTGTACTTGGGGCTAGTTGTTGAGATTCTCTCGAACAGTGTAACATGTATAACCCCTATGTATGAATTTGTGCTGTTTTTAGCTATTTTCACCGGCTATTCAACCGGCATTCCACGGCAGCTCACATGTAGCCCATAGAAATATATGGTACAGTGGTGCATGTCTATAGAACGTAGAATGTTCTGTGATGTAGCTCCACATTCCAACGCTTGCTGATGTAAATAAAATAAAATTATTCACAATTCGAGGGAAATAACATACCGTAGTACAAGGAATTTTAATAGCCATATCTGCATATTACAGCTTACATGCTTCATAAAGGTATTTATCTTTCACAATATAAATTACGATCATTGGTTTCTGCTGTGCATTAAGGTAAAAGCCTACTCATAATTTTTGACAAAATTGGTCATAAATTGCATGACAATGTTCAATAGTTTATTATGTACAATCATGAAGCTAATGTCTCGTGGTGCAATGAAATAGCATTATTGTGTGGTTACAGTTTAATATTTTTTGAAAATTGCTATTTTTTAGAACAATTCCATAGAACACAATGTTAAAGAAAAATTGCATTTTTTGACAATTTTTAAAACCCAGATTTTTTTTAAAAAGTACTTCATCATTAACAATATATGATTTTTTCAGCCCATGTTACCATGCTAGATTTTGAGATATTACAGAATATTTCTGCCGTAGGAATCAGTGGTAAAAGTGTCAAAATGACGACTTTCCACTAAAATACAACCATCAATTTCTCAAAAAAAAAAGGCTGGTGACCCCCAACTTTTTTTAGGTCAATATCCCTTATATTGCCTTGGAGTACAATTTATTGCAAAATGAATAAATTCTGGGTATTTTAATTTATGAGTAGGTTTCTACCTTGAGGTCATGATACTCAAATTAACAAGATGTAAATTTGTTGACAAGAAAAGTTGCATCTTGTGACAGAGTGCAACATTTGTTGTCAACTCTATTCAAACTGGCGGAAGAAGATAGGTTGCTAAGGCTCTGCAGCGAGTATAGTTGCCATACAGGGTAATGTTAATATGCCATCATGATAAAACATAGACACATTATACATCCACCTATTAGCTATCATACTTGCATGGAAACTTTATTGATATGTACAGTCCAAATACCGGTAAGTTACTTCCCCATTATCAAATTGGTTATTGTGGTCTCAATTTACTTACACAAATTGTACAGTATTTTAAGTTCATGGTGATTGCAGTGATCAGTGTTTAACTATGTGGTCAATTCTGCTCTTGATGTATTTATGTGAAATGTATGACAAAAGACATTCCTGTGGTCCCAGTAGCCCCAGTGTTCAATAGTCTGGTCTACTATGGTCAAAATGTACAGTATTCTATTGCATCGGTCAATTCCTTGTGGTTGCAGTTATTGATGATAAGGGTGTATATCCCACTGATGAGGTATTTAACAAAGTAAGTCGAGTATGATAAGGGTGTATATCCCACTGATGAGGTATTTAACAAAGTAAGTCGAGTATGATGATAAGGGTGTATATCCCACTGATGCGGTATTTAACAGAGTAGTCTAGTATGATGATAAGGGTGTATATCCCACTGATTAGGTATTTAACAATAAGTCGAGTATGATGATAAGGGTGTATATCCCACTGATGCGGTATTTAACAGAGTAGTCGAGTATGATGATAAGGGTGTATATCCCACTGATGAGGTATTTAACAATAAGTCGAGTATGATGATAAGGGTGTATATCCCACTGATGAGGTATTTAACAAAGTAAGTCGAGTAAGATGATAAGGATGTATATCCCATTGATGAGGTATTTAAGCAGAGTAAGTTGAGTATGATCATAAGGGTGTATATCCCACCGATGAGGTATTTGACAGAGTAAGTCGAGTATGATGATGAGGGTGTATATCCCACTGATGGGGTATTTAACAGGGTAAGTCGAGTATGATGATAAGGGTGTATATCCCACTGATGAGGTATTTAACAGAGTAAGTCGAGTATGATAAGGGTGTATATCCCACTGATGAGGTATTTAACAGAGTAAGTCGAGTATGATGATAAGGGTGTATATCCCACTGATGAGGTATTTAACAGAGTAAGTCGAGTATGATGAGAAGGGTGTATATCCCACTGATGAGGTATTTAACAGAGTAAGTCGAGTATGTTGATAAGAGTGTATATCCCACGGATGAGGGATTTAAGCAGAGTAAGAGGAGTATGTTGATGAAGGCGTATTTCCGAATGATGAGGTATTTTCAGTCTTTATTACCTTATCTTCTAAAAACCTTTCCACAGTATTTTAAATGATTGCAAAATAAGTGATTATAATAATGAACATGCTGAATCTGTGTGGGCATATTTATTTATCCATGCTAAATATATTATTTATATGGTTCGGCTATGAGCCAATATTTACCAGTTATGATCTTCAATAAATATTAGGGGGAGCAAATACACAATTTATTGAAATTTGCGGAAATTAGATAAATGTGTCAAAAAGCATGTTTCAACTGAAGCAAATGCTATATAAACCATAAATGGGGCTCTGAATTTATGAAACTCTTTTGTGATGCCGAAATGACGTATCTATTAAAATCTCTCCTAAACATATTCTTCAATGATGGACGTCCACAGATCAAAACTATATGGACGCGTATAACGGTATGTGTATTTCTCATTTACGTCATAAAAACGCATATCACTAAAGGGCGCGATTTATAGAAATGCTGTATTTAGACACATATTTATTCGTGTAAATACGCATTTAAAACTATTCGATACAATGATCAAAGGTATTTTGTATATAATGCGTTGGTACTTTGGAACAGCAACCCTAATGAAGAAACCACATACTACCTTTTGTAAATATGAATTATTATAACATATTTAGTCTGAATCTAGCAATCTGATTGGCTGAAGCAAGGTCTTATATCTGGCATTAGAAAACCTGTGATCCCGCCCCCAAAACTGAATAAACTGGCCTAAATACTAGTATCCAACTGAATCGAGATCGCACGACTGTGAGCACAGTTCATTGTGGTTGCGGTTGTATGATCAACTGATAAAAACAGAGAAGCCTGGTAATCTACTAATACGAATTGTTATTGCCAAAAATGGTAATAAATTGGGCATTTTGTGAGAAAAATCCCCGCGAGGAACGTGTGCGTTCATTGCAGTATAGCGTTTAAAAGGAACACGGGACGTCGTCGAAATCGTGATTCGCTGGGCCTGTCGTCGTTTCGTAAATCAACGTAAATGCAAAGAATCACAATTAAAAACATTTTATTGTTTATTGTTTTGGTTTACGCTCGGTTATTGTCTCTCGCAAAATATGCAAAATTTTACCCAGAGAGCGCTTACATCTCTTACCAATTACTCTCACTTGTCGTTTATAACCTCTAATTAGTCAGCAAAAAAGCAAATATCGCATACCTTCTTGAACTAGAGAGATAAATCTTCATTATCGCAAGTATTAGATGAAACGTTGGTTCAAAGCTAAGATCAGGAATAATGCTGGACGTGTTAAAACATTTTAATTATTTGTGTATAGAACCTTGAAAAACATAGAACTGAACAACATGTGATTGGAAGCGTTAATGGCGTATTGATAATACGTTCATTTGATTGAAGTAGAGAAATAATTGCAGATAATAATACAAAATCAGCAAAATAAGCTTCTTACATAAAAAAAAGAATAACAAACAAAAATAACAAACCTCTATCGTTGACTAAATTAAATAACGCAACCGGAATTTCTAAATCAAAATGGGTAGTATTGATCTAAAGATGTTGAGTGTAATCTTCAAAAATGGAACATGAAAAAAAAAGAGGAATAAACTCATCATCATCTCAAAATCCACGTTAAACCATCATCGGCATGGAAAAAAAATTAAAACAATATTAGGTCAGAACAGCATAGTATTCAAACTTCATAAATTGTGCGGTTCGATTGACATGGTAGAGCTAGAGCGTCTAGTGTCCAAATTTCTGCTCTTATTTTTGTGTTTTTGAATACAATTAATTTACGATAGTTTAATAGAAACAAACTAAAGCGGGCGCTGTTTACAGTAAGGTTTTTTGTTGCACTATCTGAGCAGTATCAAACGAAATTGATAAACATCGCCACCTATCGGTAACTTTGACTATTTTGTTTATCAGGAAGATTCATTTAATTTTAACCAGTATTTTTTCTTTCACTTGCTCTCTTAATATAAAATTAATCACTAGTTCTGTGCTTGAGATAATTATATTCGTCATCAACTATACATGTTGGGTCTACCATAGCTTGAACTGTAGCGCGTTTAACTTTCACTATACTAAATCGGAGTCTGTCGTCCGTTGGATATATATGTTAATCGAAGTTAATCGAACTATTTGTTTTTTGTTTGCCTTGGTTCAACATTCATCGGCTAACCTTATAATACACCATCCCATAAGTCAAGGTTCCTACCATAAGTCGTTCAAGATTAATATATATCCAGACCGTAGTGGGCGCTCTTTGTGGTTAATTTTTTCACCACAGCCAGACGTCATGATGCAGGTAAGTGAGCTGACTATTCCTCCAGCCAGTCTTGTAGATACACGTATTTGTTTTGAATTTCACATAATTTATCCGGTAA